ACCCTACATCGGATGCCTTTAACAAGGACAAATAGATGTAGACAGACTTTTTATTTCCCTGTCTTTTTCCCTATTTTGACAGATGCCGTTGTTACTGGCTCCTGCAAGTTACTTAGTTCTTAGCGCCTTTCTAGTTACATCTGTCTTTGCCTAGCAAAGGTATGACCCTCTTTAGGCCACATTGTCTTAATCTTATGGATGACATCCGCGTGCGCATTGATTTTCGCCTGTTCTCAAAAAAAAAAAAAAAAGATCACGTCCACCGAGGCTCTGGCCCGGCTCTAAGCCTGGGTAGTCCATGGTAGTTAGCGACAATACGGAGCCGGGCACCCAGGCTACCGAATCTCCACGACTCAAGAACTCGGTACAGTGCCGATTTGTAAATATTCCGCAAAAAGCCATCATGTGCCGGCTTGTCGTATACGTCGCTATGTACTGCCGCAAATCCACAATACCAGCTTTGTAGTCCTGTGGTTTTGTGGCATATTTATTTTTGCCCGGATTTTTTTTATTCGCCCGCGCGCACTAGTTTGGGGGTCTTCAGAGGATGTCATCCATAAGATTAAGTCGGTGTGGCCATAGCAACATGTATAGATTTTTGGAGAAATGAAAAGTGGGAATATACTGCATGGAATTTTGCTGTTACTACTTTTTCTGATTGGACTGAGCTTGCAGATTTGGACTTCAGAAACAAGATAACCTCAGTTATAAGGATGGAAGGGTTTGCAATTTTTTAAATCACAGTTACACAGGAACATTATCAACAACATTCTTTGTAGTCAGGGAGTGTCTTCATTCTGATTATTTGCGTACGGTCTATAATATCTGTCTAATTAGTGTTCTTAAGTGCTCTTAAAGTGTTTTTCTATTTACTTCTCTTTCTTTAATTCTTTTTGAACAAAGAGATAACGTAGAGCTGATAGCGTCTTCCGTGGCGCCTTCCCTTATTTTTCCTGACTTTTCTTTTAAATCCTTCCTTCTAATGGGGCGAGAGAATTGGCCTAAGAAAGGGTAATCCTGTCTATTGAGACCGGGGTGAGTTCTGGAGGAGGTCGTCACACGCACGACCTACAATAGACAGAACAAATCCCCAATTTCAGACCGTGTATGACCAATTGCTCTGGAACATTCGTGTGGATTTGGAACATGTGCGGGAAAACCAAGGAGGTTAGAGGAAAACGAAGTATTTTTTTATTCCAACATGTAATCACCAGTGGTGATGGCACACTCAAGTTTTTCAAATTATATTGATGCCGCCACCAACACAGGGGACAAATACATGACAGGACAGTACTCATTTTCATCTGAGTTAAGTGAGGAAAGTCGTGTAAAGTGCCTTTCCCAAGGGTACAAGATCGGTGGCATGTCAGGACTCGAACCCGGGACCTCTAGGTTCCGAGTCGCGCACTCTGCCGCTACGCCACACAAACGAAGCATTTCTGAATGTTTCAATGGAAGTGAATACTAGATAACAAGTTAGGGGAAATGAAGGAGGGAAAGAGAGGATGAAAGAAAGAAAAGAAAGAGCGGAGAATGGAATAGTACTTGACTTTATTATCCACATCCAGCATACATGTACAAAACAGTATAGCTATCCTTCCTTATGACCGTTCTAACACACAACAAGACACACAGGAAAGTATACAAAACATAGCAAAGAAAAATCTTAATAAACTCATAAACAGGTAGAACATTAAAACGAAGCTTTCCTCCCTGTTTGAACCGAAGTGAAGACTAGATAACAAGTTAAGGAGGAACTGAAGTGTGAAAGATAGGAGGAAAGAAAGAACAAAGGAATTGTCAGGAAAATGATTAAGAAATTCGTATACACCTGGGGCAAAAGTTTTTAACACCATACTATGCTTGCAGTACTAGTAGTATATGGCATAGGTTCTAGTATTTCAAGGTGTACATTTTCGTATAGTTCATCTTGTGACGGCAAGCCAATGAATGACTATATTCTGTAGAAGAGCGCTATCTTAAAACACAATCCCAGTTCACAATGCCTCTATAGCAATCACGACTCCAATTCTGCCCAAATCTTGTAACACAACCACCGACATATCATTGCATTATCTTGTTTCCCCTTGCCTGATGTAAGAATTTAGACGTCCTGCGTTCTCCTCGCCCAATATCACGCCACAAACACGTCAAACCCCGGCTCGGGTCTATATCAACACATTACTTCCGCATAATTTACCACTCCGCGCTTGTAATCACTTTTCTGAAGATAACTAGCAGCTCAAGTGCTTAGATTAATTAATTACCCCCTCGGGGAGCTCTTTGAAAGTGAATCACGCTAATTATAGGTCTCCTTTGGCGGGTCTGACACCCAATAGGTAGACCTGCCTCAGCCCTGATCCCCTGTTGTATGCAGGGCTCCGTGCGGTGCCACGCCGTCTGCGGTTTTCTTTCATCCTTCCGAAGCGCTTTATTCGGCCTTACCTCCCGAAACAGCCTCGGGCGCGACTTCGGGAAGACTCGTCCGTTTCCGTAGAAAATAGAGCATATGATTTAACCGTGTGTGAAAATGTTGGCTAATGTTGACAAAATAGGGGAACCAACGTTACAGATATAAGTAAACACTGTTCTAGAAACATCTTTGTATAGGAAGTCCCTTTATAGCCGGCATCCAATGCGATTTCAGGACAGCAAAACTGGAAATATTCCGAATAAGGCAATCTTTGTGATATTGACACATACTGCTTCACATTAGCACATTTGAATCAGTATTTCATACTTTGGGCATTTAAAACTGCAGAAACAAGCCCCAACATGAGTCCTTTATTTTCTAGTGGTACCCTATAAATCAGCCCAGGGCCCTTCCAGGCTGTGATTTTGGAACAGATGTGAGAATTTAAGAAGCTTAGCTCTCCTCGTTCACAGTCAAATTCAGGGTGTGTCTGTGAATTAAGCATCTGCCATAGAATTTCCAGCGCCTGTACTTTAATAGAGATTAATAACTCTAGAAAACGTACACTGAATGCCGACAATGCACTTCTCACTGCGAAAAACGCTGATTACGTCAGATACATTGACCTCAACCGCGACATGCGGACCTTAGGCCACAGCAAGTAAAGTTTATGGATGACATTCTATGCAGATTCCAAATCTAATGTGAGCGGGCGAAAAAAAGAGGGGGCCGAAAAAAACAAGCTTAAGGTTCCTACAGTTTAAAATTTTGTCTCAATCAATGTACAAAATGGTTTTGATTCAGTGGGAACATTATATATACACAGCCAGCATCACATATCACTGCATCAAAGTAAGAAACAAAACATTAAATCAGAGCCTTTTCTTGTCTCCTCTCTTCATAGTTATCTGCCATCCACCTTCCGGCATGGCAACAGACATCTTTGCCCATTTTCTGCATGGTGACCACTGTCAGAAGGCAACAAAATTTCTAAAATCAGGGGAAAATGCGCGCGCTGATGTCATCCATAAAAGTTACTTGCTGTGGCCTTAGTGGAAAAACATATCCCACACCGTTTGGATAGATCAAAGCCGAACCTTGCACTGGAGGAGGTTGCTTTGCTTAGAAGATATCAATATCACTTTTACACGCTTGACATTGTCCGTAATTTGACTTTAAATGTCCCATTTACCAGCTTTCATGGCGAGTGAATGGAGGACGGTACGGGTGGTCGAGTTTCTAAAGCCCGCTGAAACTTCACAAGCTTGCTCTGGTCTTTTATTAACTTTGCCCATCTGTTGACGCTATGGGTGTATTGTTGGGGGATATCTTCCGCCGAGCGGGGCTTCCATAGCGAGTGTACGGGCGGGTGTTGAGAATGGCCGGGTCGCACCCGGCACATATGTGGGTACGGGACCTTTGGTAGCCCGGGCCTTCAGGAGAAGGGCTCGGGTCGATTTGGGCGTGAAATTTTGCATAATGTTTTCAATTACACCACTCAAGTTACTGAGGGCTAAACGTAAGCATTATATTCACATCAGAATTAGACATTATTTCAGCTCAGAAATACCGTGAACCGAGCACTTTTTAGATATAAGGTATGCATTTTTGTTTTTAAGTTAAAAACATTATTCCGCGCATTTGTTTGTATTGATGAAATGCTACTTTGTTTTCATAATTGAATTTAGCAGTCTAGAACAGCTTACTGGTAAAATTTGATTTTCACATTAAGAAACGAAACTTCAAGTGCTTTTAAATAGAGAACACCTCTCTAGCATTATTTGTAAGATTGTTTTTGCAGTGTTCATAATATTTATGATAAAACGACGTAAATTCTGTCCTAAGCCAAAGTTGTTGCCATCAGTTATCCAACACTAATTTTATACAGACAGTATGTCAACTGTATCTCCCCTTGTCACTTTTACTAAGTGTTAAAGTCCAACACAAGATAACGCCAATAATTACCCACTGAAGATACCCTCACTTATAGGCGGCTAAGCAAGAGTTATGTTTGCTCAAACCGAGTGTGTTGTAATGTGATATAATTCACCCAATTAAGATAACATCATAGCCTATCTGGAGGGGACATCATTAAGGCGGTAAGCAATTTCCACACTTAATGAACAGCTGTAGACGCCCAAACGTGACGCCTTAAGGACCCCGTGGTTGTTTTTGGCGCCTCTGTTCTGGGACAGGCAACCGCAAAAAGGCCAGACCTTGTGATAACATCGAAACGCGATCGTCTGTACACTAACACGTTGTGTCGCTGTCAGTTGTCATTAAGCTAGATGTACTAGAAACTGATTACTGATTAAGCCAATCGTGTGTAGTCCCCAGATTGTTTTTTTGAGTTGAACTAATTAAAACTACAAATATTTTGGTTCGTGTGCTGGGTTTTCACAAGCTTCCAACCATAGAAAAGCGGTACCAATGTATCATCGTTGGTGTAAAGTATGATTTAAAACACAAAATATTACAACTGCCTTTTGCGAAAGAAATATTGATAAGAAATTTTCTTTGCAAGTGGACATATACCAGTATCATTTCTGTATAGATATATTGATATAAGAAGTAGCATCATCATAAATTTTGTAGAGCAAACTTGCTTTTTATTATTATTATTACATTTATACTACAAATCGGAATAAAATCTATGCAATCACATTGCATACTTATACATGTATCAATCTTATTAAGGACACTTCCTTTGTGCTTACCTAAATATTGCATAAATAATAGACAAGTTTTAAATCATAAGGGCACTTCGTGATATAACAATATTCATGTACACCTAGAAGTTTTCTATAATTTCTATATTGTCGGAACAAAAGTCATCTCCAATCGACGTAGGCAGTGAAAAAGAAAACAAAACATGTGCATAGTTGAATGTAACGACTTTAAACGGTCATATCTGAACCACCACTGTATTTATATGAACAAAACTACACTGACGAATTCAAATTCAAGATCAGCAGCTATACTCTTTGAATGAGCAACTAATTTGCTGTTCGTTATTTTGAAGAAAAATACTGTATTTACTGATAGAAATACTACAAATAGAATTATTTACACGTACATACTAAAGTCTTTTCTTGGTGAAACTATGTTCTTGTCGGGCTATTTTGATTGGCTGGACCAACTAACGTTGGTTGGTGAGCCAACGCTGGCGAAGGGTATCGCGGGAAGGCTGGTGCAGCCTGGTACGGGGTATATTGATAATACCCCGGATGTTGGCCCATGTTCCCGATGCTATAAAGTCTCTGCGCGTAGGCCCAAGGGCTTGGTGCTCCGTAAAGTCCAGCAAGGGATGCATAGTGTTGGTGGGCAAGTAGTTCCAGGTCGTTGGTGTACTTCCTTTTCCATTTCGTCCGCCTATTTTGGAACCAGATCTTTATCTGGAAAAAAAATACATACACAAAATTTATTACAGGATACAGCATACATTTTCTCGTCGGGTGTTTTGTCCATTCTGTCCCAATGATATTGAAGACGAACAACATTTTATTTTGAATTGTACACTATATAACGATAAACGCACAAAGCTGTTCAACCTTCTCTCCGCCTGCTCAACAGAATTTGTTACATTTCATGTTATAGATAAATTTAAGTTCATCCTAGAAGGCAATAACCCTTACTGTGTACAAATAGGTAAATATATCAAAGAATGTTTAGACCTTAGAACAAGTAGTATTAGTTGACCCATCTATTGTTTTGTACGTAGGATAATTTCGTTGTACCCATGTATATCTACATGTCTCAGACCTTACGAAAGTCGCTGTACTTTTGTTGTGTCAATTAAGTTCTCTTACTATGGTCTTCTATTCGCTCATTCCTTGACGAAGACTGATGCTGTTTAGTCGAAAATCCTATTTTCAGCTGTCTAATTTGTTGGATATTACGTGATTCTGATACAGAATGAAATCTGCTTCAAGCTTATCTAATTAATTGGATGGGATTCATTTCAACGTAACCTACGTCTTCGTAGGTTTGAGCGGGTTTTACAGCTAGCTCCAGTCGCTTGGACTTTGAAGCTAATCTAGTTTGAATCGGTTCAAATTCACAACAAACTAACCTGAGTCTCGGTGAGTTTGAGCTGGTTTGACAGCTCCAGTCGTTTGGTGACAGACAGGTATTTGTTCTTCTGGAACTCGCCCTCCAGTTCCTTGATCTGCTCTGCCGTGAAGGCCGTACGGGGGCGCTTCTTTCTCTCATCTTGTCTGTACAGACGGGGAGAATCCGACCGGACTTCATCTGTAATGTTGAATTTGAACATAGATATAGACCAGAGCTCGAAATACTTTTTGTGCATACCTATCGTATATGACCGTTGGCTTCTTCCATCTTCTCGGCCTTTTTAACATTACTTTTCTTTACTTCCCTGTTATCGTAAATGAAAACAAAAACAAAACAAACACAGTCACAAAAACATCAAACAGCTAGAGTTAATATAAGTGTGAACAACATAACAAAATTGGTATTATGAAAGTATGAAAGTGTACTGTTTATAGAGCGAGAGTCACTAATATGCATTAGGCTACAGCAAGTACATTTTATGGATGACATCTTATGCAGACTCCGAATCTTATAGGAGGGCGCGAAAAAAAGATGGGGTAAAAAAAAGCAAGATGCTTAAATTTTCAAAACAGAGATAAACGTTGTAACCATAATCAAAGTGACAACTAGTCTTTTATGTCTTTATTGTAGAAGTTCAGAGATATAGTAGTATCACTTCAATTACACTCAAGGCTACCAGAAGAAAGAAGCTAGATAAGTCTTCTATAAGGAACAACAATCTTTGAAAAAGCTGTATTTTATCTGTTGCAAATCTAATAGCAGACAGCCTCTGGCAAAAGAAGAGGGAACCGATTTTCCCATTATGCTTGTTCATCCACTTTGCTTAATAACCTCTAATGAAGCGTTATCATCACATTTTTTCGCCAATCTATAGTGACAACATAAACGCTAAAGGCCAGCCACCTATTTTTTCCCAATTACTCTCTACTGTTGGACTATTTTGACATAATGTGTTGGTTGTTATGAGTGTATAGCTTGTGTGTTGTCCTATTTAGTTAAGCGGGCTCCCATACTCGGTCACAAAATACAGCCCCGTATATATTTCTTGTTCGAAATCTTTTTACAGTGACAGTTTCTTTCCCCGTACGGCCAAGCTTTGGAATTTCCTCCCTGACAAGTGTTTCCCACCAACCTACAATCTACAGACTTTCAAATCAAACGTTCACCGCCATCTCTTGACATAGCCATGTTTCTCTCATCTTTCTAGTTCAATGCCGAGAAGTGGTCGTATAGGCCTTGCATTGAACCACTCCGTTAAAAAAATATATATATTTTTTGTGAGCGAGCATGTTTCCCTCAGTGAACTAAACAAGAAGGAACCAAACCTAATAGCTACTAGGTGTAAAACAAGCCACGTGAATCAGTCAACTAAAACATACCTGTCTTATTCACACGAGATTTTCCCAAATAGAAACGTGAAAACCCAATTTGTTTCCCAAACGTAAATATTAACACATAAACAACCCTTCCAGGTGTGCCAATCACCTTAATAGTTTAACAAATACTTTCCAAATGACCAAACCTTAAAGTGTCAATCAAACCCATGTCTTCTTAAATTTGTAGACATTCTATATAGTTTTTATATAGTTCTATATAACCTTCAAAGCTCTATGAATCGTGCGTAAATTCTGAAAAATTTCTTCGTTCAGTATTTCTGAATAACAGAAGATCTTTTGGGACAGTGATGAGTATGCTTTGAACTGTGAGTCGCAGATTTTATCTTCTATACGATGAGTCAAAAGTCAAGTCTGGTGGCTACACGGCTATCTTGAAACATCTGTTCGTCTGGCCGGGGAAGAATTGGCGTCGTTGGTTGGCGCCAGTATCGCCTGGAGTGGTATTTGAACCACAGAGATCACTTGTAAGGACATAACAATGGCTTGAGGGACAACATGCATGGGACACAGTACAGGGACAACCTTGGATCGGTCGGAACAATCTCAGACTGGGGAGAAATGGTCTTCATCGGGACCGAACAACACCCAACCATACTGTTTGTTCACAGAATTGATATGGTGAAAACCAAGAAAATTTCATTTGCACATTGATTTATAAGCAGAATAATCAAAGAATTATAAAAGAAAAAAGGGATGTAAGAAACCTTTCAATGTTACCCCAATTGAAATCCATAACACTGTATGATCAAAAGGTATGACAAATAAACGTACGTAATAAGAAGCCAATCCTTCTTATCTAGCCAATGTTTCTAGAGTTCTATCTAGCTTGTATATATGCGCCGTACAAACCTGTGTATTAACTTATGTATTAACTTTGTTGGTATGGAACCACAATACATAACTAACACTGTCTTCGTTGAAGCTGTATTTTATCATGAAAAAATTGATTGGTACATTTCTCAATTTTATAGAGAAATACTGTATACCATAGTTCTAGATTTGGTGCCAACCTTCAAAGTAAAGATCTTTCAGAAGATAAAGGGGATGTTTATCTGTCTGAGGATCTTCTTGTCTTTTTACTTCCATAAATCTGTCAAGATGTACAATTAGCCTCCACATAAACTGGATCATCATACTGTGAGATTCAAAGACTAAAATGTTGTGAATGTTATCTAATGTGAATTTATTGCTTTTGTGTGAAAAATAATAATAGAAGGTTAGTCTGTATAGAATACCAATCTATAAAACACCTGTCGCATATAGTCACACGTATATACACATGATATACGGTAAAATACGGCGTATGTCAGGAAATATACATAATATCAATAATTTGTTTCAGACAGAAAGAAGGGTAGCTAAACAATTTTCACAAGCAAACTCAGAGCACTTTTCATAGTATTTTTTTTGGTTTCCTAGAATTTATGCTATACAGATATTGAAATTAAAAAAATTCAAACTGTTCTCCAACTCAAGATATTGAAATTATTCATTTAGTGACATTAAGTGAGGCAATTTCCTTTGAATTAGAATTATATGTAGCAAAATAAGTAGTTTGGATGACAAACATAAGTTAGAAATGTGCGTGGACACATAAAGTTTGAAATTAAGAAAATTGGGTAAGAAATGTCTGTGCTTTTATCTTCCATTACACTATTGCAAAGGTATACATTAATTCATTAACTTTTCTTATTTTTACGGTAGAAAAAAATTTTCTTCGAGATACTGGCTACTCTCTGGTCCAGATGTTTCACAGCAGCTACTGTTATTCTAAACTCACCATTAAAACGGAGCAACACTTTCTTCTTTTGTAAACGATTATAATTTCCAAATTAGCTGGCATATCACAAACGATAAAGACGATTTTCTGCTACCCCTTTGATTCTCCCTACCCTTTTTGTCTCTCGTTTCAAGCGCGACCGAGAAAATTTATCTTAAAAAAGAACCCCTTAACACCGAGGGTGGGGCTAATCTGGGTCCATGAATGGGCTGTGAATACGGGTGAAACCGAGCCCAATATTGCCTGGAACGTTCTTTAAAAGCTCGATTCAATAGCGCTGAATACGGGAACAGCAGGTGGTTGGAACGGACTGCCTCCATGCTGGCCTCTCTACAAAACTTCACAAGAAACTCTAGTCTTTTATTAACTTTGCGCATCTGTTCAGGGTAGCGGAGGGGTTTTGTTGGACGCTCAGAGCGGTGTGTTTAATGTCATTGTAAATATTGTAGTGCAAAGGCTGTGGAAGACGAAATTCATTTTATTTCAAACTGTTCATTCCATAACAACGCTCGAAATGAGTTGACTATTCAAACTTCTACAATTTATCCCAATTTCTCTAAACTTGCAGACAAAGAAAAAAACTAGTCTTCTTTTAACTTCCCAAAACCCACAAATTTTGGAAAAGATGGGACATTACGTCTTCCATGGTTTACAGAAGAGAAGTCAAACATAGTTTTAGACATAGTTTTAGACATAGTTTTAGACATAGTTATAGTTCCAGACAGCTACCTTTATCATGTAGATTTAAGTTATTTTATACTCTGTTTCATTGCTCTCTTATTTTTTGTAATTTGCAATTCCTCCGGGCAAGAATTTGCAATACACTTTTCATTGTAGGTTTAGAGAACTGGACAGTCGTCTGAGAAATGATAACACTCATAAGTTAGACTCAGTGGCCCGAGTTAACGATAAAGTTTTTAACATACAATTTTCCGTAAATTAACGTTTTAAAACGTATCTTTTGGGCCTGTTTACATATCTTTAGATCACAAGTAACAAACCTTTAAAAAGATTTGTCAGTGGAGAAGTTGTTCCACTACATGTTCAAAATCTGAAAGAATCGATAAAAACGTTCGTTCCAGGCTATAATTTCTTGATGTAGATTGTTCTGAGACACATGTAGTAGACCACATCTAGTTAGGTATCTACATAGATTTTGGCTGTAGAATTTATTCATCCATTGTAATTTCAGGACGACAAAACAAAAATATTCTGGATCAGAAAATATGTCTGATATTGACATCTACTGCCTTTTCTTAGCACATTTTCGTCTTCAAGTCATACTTGGGCGTTTGGAAAAGCCCGTAAAAAGCTATCTGAGGAGTGTCTTTATTATTGGGTACCACCAACAAATACCGGGAACCAGCCTACGATTCGAAACAATTGTTTTCCGTCAGCAACATTGCAATTTTGCCTAACAGATATCAGTATGACAATACAGTGAAATGTCTTTAAAAGTCCACTTTTACAGTCCTATCACTTTGGGTACAAAATCAGCCAACTACCCCTCCTAATCTCCAAGCAGATCCCTTTCGGTGGCAAATTGGCCAGGCAGTATCCATTAGCCAAAGAGTTTAGCTGGCCACCGACGGGTGGTGGGGATAGCGACAAAAAACGGCCCTATATAAAAAAAAGTAACAATCATTCCCCCACAACCTCTGCTTGGAGAGTACCCCTCCTTCGTTGCCCATGACGTGTACCTGAAAGGCCGTGATCCCAAGTTGTCAAAACACCAGCTGATCGCTTTTAAAACATTAAGGTCGTCTCCGTGAAACCTTCCCCCCTTTTCAAACCCTTTTCTCCCTACCGTGTTTCCCCCGACCTCCGCGATGTTGAGCACAAGTCTATCCGTCTCAAATTGGACCAGCGAAACTTTGATGTGAAGTTTACACAACAGGAGCCACTTGCGCGGTTCGGTTACATCCGTCGATCGATCACTCCGGTGTTTGTAACTTCAACACGATCGTGGCCGCTGGTGTAAGGGGATCCTCGCGGAGATTTCCGCGCCACGGGGCACGTTATTTCGGCGCGCCGTTGATCTGAAGTCGCGGGGGCATTGCGCACCGCGCGCCGCATACTTAACCTGGCACCCCGCGGTAACATGAAAATATTTATAATCCTTCAAAACAGAGTGAGTTTCAACAACTTAAAACTGTTTCTTTCGCTTTTCGGCGCTTCTAAGTATTGTTTCAAAATCACAATTAGAAGCTCATAGCCCCTTTCAAAAATGATGACTGTCATGAAACTGTCAGATCTCAGGATTTGAGCATTTTTATTTCATTGTGTAACAGATGTAAATACCTATCAGGAAATCAGCATATCTACCAGTTAACCGGCTATCGGGACTCAGAACCTAGCTGAAAGCGCCGACATTTGTGGTCGGTCAGACCTAGAAGCTTCGCTTCTAATCCAATATTGTTCCTATTCTAAGTTATTTCCCTAGAAGGATATAATAACAGCAATTGGAAACATATTGGATCACACAAGAACCATAGCATGTTCCTATTGAAGTTGAATACAATTGGCTATCCAATTTATATTCACTTTGTATACTTCTCAACGTTGTAAAAGGCAAACAAATACACGACGGTGTCATCCGTAAAATGTTCTTAGGATTCCTAAAACTATAATTATACGTATATCCTTGCCCACAGCACTCTTAAAAAGATTTGTTGAATTCCTTCCGACGAGAAAGCGGACATCAAGTACATGCCGAGGAAGTTCTGTTGTTTCAGAAACTTCCCGAAGCTCCTGAGGGCACACATGAAGGGAAAGGACTCATGGAGAAAGGCGGTAATGGCTTCCGAGGCGGACCGCAGTCTGACTTTGTCACAGTCACTTTTCTAGACAGGATACAAGGCGTTCGTTTTTTTTTTTTTATTTCTTTTGTAAATCAGTTCTCACTTTTTGCTTTGAGGTTCAGATTAAAAAAACGTATCATTGTCATTCATTTCAAATCCAACAGCACTTATAAATTACCGTTTTACATGTATGAACCAAATTTACACCAAAAAGTTTCCACTCATCCTATCTGCAAAATAGATCCTTTTTTTCACAAAAAGCAATTGCGAATTCTGACTCACAGTCAATCATAACAGTCAACAGGAGCAATTTCGATACGTTGCTACTTCAAAACGCATTCTACCTATTTTGCTGATTCTTTCGTTCTTTTTGTACATACTTTAAAACAATGTCAGGAAAAATACGTTTCTACTATGTATTAGTGAGCGTAGACCTAGTTCGCATATCTTTTATAGCAGGTATATTAAACAGATAGCTAAAGCTCGCAGGGGGAGACATTGTATCAACCTACTCAGCTTACTGAAGGGAGACCTGAAGCGCAGAGGGCTAGGCCCTCTCACAACAGAAAAGAAACTCAAGGAGCTTAGAGAGCTCGCGAGGCAGAAGGCACGGTGGAAAGAGATGAAGAAAGACTGAATGCGGCTACAGGACATTTCCACACGACTGTAGACGCAGAACACAGCAGATGATGATGATACTAAACTGAGCAATTTCCGTGTGATGTCAGTAGGCAGACATATATTTCAGGTGACTCACAGCTGCCTATTTTGCTAATCCTTTCTTTCTTTTTGTGCATACTTTAAAACAATGTCAGGAAAAATACGTTTCTACTATGTATTATTGAGCGTAGACCTAGTTCGTATATCTTGTATCGTATATAGCAGGTATACTAAACCGAGCAGTGATGTCAGTAGGCAGACATACATTTCAGGTGACTCACAGCTGTGATAGACGTGGCGTAGGTGTTACCGTATAGCCCCCATGGGGACGATTTTATCAGTCTCTTACATCAAACCTCTGTCCTGTTCCTGTCCTATGATTCACGGTGCCCACATCGTTTGTTGTCGCTCCATGGCGCCAGTATTGTTTATACCCTACACAAGACAGGCTTCCTTCACGTTTCGGCGAATCTCAGTCTTCGTAATTACACCAAACAACAGGTAAAGGTACCGTGTGTACCGTGTGTACGGGCTGACACTATCTCAAACACCGGAACACTGGAACCGGAGAGCCTGATAAAGATTTTCCACTCGCTTAGCTCTAGCCTTCTTGGACCAAGCGACACAAACAAGAGAAAAAGATATTTCGAAACGTTAAGAAAAGGCCATCATGTAACTACGTTAAAGTTTCAACAAAGCCGGGCGTTCTTATTTTACGATTGCGCAAACAAAAGTAAGAAAACTGATTCTTATAATTCCGTAATGCAAGAAATACTGATACCCCATTGCCCATGACCCTAATTGCTCTACGTAAAGACCCCAGTTTATGATTTTGTGTTGTCTGCAGGTAGTTTTATTACTGGAATGATGTGATCAAAGATTCTAAATCCTCAATTCCGTTAACACCTGAAATTACGACCACAGTCGTGTTCTCTAGTCGCACACTCACCATAAGTACACAAAACACAGTCTAACTTTTTTCTTGGCGCCAGATATGTTTATACCTTTGCCGGAGTTAGTGAGAGATTCCCAGGCGGAATTTCAGTAGATAACAAGGCTATATTCCGGCTTCATTAGATATCGCACGGTGGTTAGTTCTCAAGTGGGCGGCGAAGACCAGAGACGCCATGTTGGGGTAGAAAAACCACCTTACAGACCTATCGGTTGCGTCTGCCGGCGTCCCCAACATGTAAACCTGGGGACACGGGTTCGAGTCCCACATACATGTAGATGCAATTTTGTTAACGTTCTTCCCTGACATATGTACAGAAACAAGAACAGCTTTATATCAGCAAACCGACTTGCCGAGAAATAGAAAACAGTACCGAAAAGATGAGTTATGGGTTACGGGTTCGATTCCCAGTACTGTTTGATAATACATGTGGAGTCCATGGTGTGACTAAACGCCTTTATGGAACACTTAAATACCACTTTGCAAGAATAATATAGACGGAGTGAACAACACTCTATCGGTACTACCGTTGTATAATCAAAGTCAAGTACAGAACGTATAGCCCAGTAATTTGTATTCCTTGATTAATATATCTTGCATGCTTCTCAAATTTACCCTGGCTTTGGTACGAATATTATATATGATCACTGTGTTTTTGTAAAAAATGTTAAAAGAAATAAAAGATACAAGAAGAAACGGTTTTCCTCTCATGTCAATCTTGAAAGAAAAGGAAGTAAGACACAGACAACACAGTCACAGTACTACCTGTTAGGCCGAACTGACTCACTGTGATGGAACAGGTAAATAAACTACACGTCGTGCAAAACACACAAACAAACACGACAGGAAAACGGATCTGCCTTTGAAGTGGCAACGTCGTTTGAAGAGTTACTACTTGCGGTCAGCTGTTTTCCCTGGTTTATCAAAGGCTGACCAGGCCACAAGGACTCGGGAATAGCTAGCTGGGATGTGGGGTCGTGTGGCGAAGCGGCAGAGTGCTCGACTCGGAACTAAGAGTGCTGGGTTCGAGTCCTGACATGCCATCGATCTTGTGCCCTTGGGAAAAGCACTTTACACGACTTTCCTCACTTCGCTCAGGTGAAAATGAGTATTGTATTGTCCCCTGTGTTGGTGGCGGCATTAATATAAGTTGAAAAAACTTGAGTGTGTCGTCACCACGTCTGGTGATTACATGTTGGAATAAATAAAAACAAAATAGCTGGCTGGGTTGGTTTAACCAACATTCTGTTTTTTTTTATTCCAACATGTACTCACAAGACGTGGTGACGGCACACTATAGTTTTTTTTTTCAACTTATATTTTTGCCGCTACCAACACAGGGGACAATACAATACTCATTTTCACCTGAGCTAAGTGAGGAAAGTCGTATAAAGTGCCTTTCCCAAGGGCACAAGATCGATGGCATGTCAGGACTCGAACCCGGGACTCCTTGGTTCCGAGTCGAGCGCTCTGCCGCTACCGGCCACACGACCCCACACATTTCTATGTTTACAAATGGTGTCCTTGATAGAAGTCTAAGACATTCAAATAACATTATACCAACAAAATTTGGCGCAAACTTCAATCATTTTGTCGCTTGTTTCAAGGATCAATGTAAAGCAAGTCACAATTTTTATGGGTAATTTGTGATGTAGCATGTCGAATGAGTGGGGGATGGAAAACATACATTTTTTACTCTAGAAAGGATACAAACGAGGAGCTAATTTTCAAGTTTAAAATCTTCAAGAACGTCTTGTCGAAATACATGTACCTGCTTGATAAATGCAATGCAACTTATTTTGAAAGAAAACTATACTAAACTAATATGGAAAAGCCGTACAATGTATATTGTATATGTAAATACTTATTGTATTACGTAAACTATCCTGTTTTTTTTACACCTTTTGACTTTCAAAGGTCCATAAGTTAGTACATTTTATGCCAATGGTATGGGTTTAAACGTATGAATATAAAACCCTGTACTTTCCTATCTTAAGTTCAGTTAAATGTTATAAATGTCTAAAGGCTATGTTGTTCATGTTCTTGTGGTTGTAGCTAGATCATCGAAAACAAGCGCTGATTTTCCCGTCTACGTCTAAGTCAATATACCACATATTACAGTTTAAAAAAGTAGCCTTTGTAGAGTCCTTGCTGTAATATACTTTACTTGCAAATAGCAAAAGGAAACCTCCAAGGAGTTACATAGTAACAGAGGAGCCAATTGATAAAAAAAGCCCTCGTTTTACGAAAGGCCTCATTGCCGAAACAAGCTGAAGCCAAACCACTATGTCTACAGTATGATGGATTCACTTTTTGGGATTGTCTTAACACAAAGGATACGAGAAAATGATTAATGAGAAAATTATCTTAAAGGAGACAAGTGCCCTTAATGGAGATAATGCAGTAATTGAAGGCAATGGTTATAATGACTCTTAAAAACTCTTCAATTGACAATCGACTGAAGGGTTTAGACCAGCTCGTTTCTGATTCAAACCTCTGCGTATTTCTCAAAAACATAGAAGGTAGTTATACATACCGTCGCTTGCTTTCATCTTCTTTCTGTGGATGTCTTCAGCCGTAGGGGACGGAGACTTGAGGCTGTCCGGTGTCCTTGCCGACGATGTAGAGCTGACTTCCGGAGAGGACGCCGAGGCGACCGACGCGTCTGTACGGGGCGAGGCGGAGTAAGGCCCGCCGGACTTCTCAGCCTCGATCGGTGCTCCGAACCCGTGGAGATCTCTGGTCTGTTGATCGTACACAGACGGTTTCTGGTTGTGGTGCTGTCTGTCTCTATCGGGGCTGTTGTCGGAGAGTATCCTAGCGATAGAGAAGTCGCTTGTGTTCGGGCGGGGGCTGGTGTCCGCCCGCCGACCAGGGCCCGGGCGCCCCGGCCTTTCCTGCACGTCGTCTGTCAGCGACATCTTTGTCTACGTTCGTAACGATCCCGACACAAAAATGTGCCCAAGAACTAATGAGCGCACCAAGCCGCGGCTACAGTGGAGAAATATTAGTGTCTGTAGACAGAAGGGCGCTGCAACTTCCCGCAGTTAAATGGCGAAAAGCTTGGTCTTAATCTAGAGCGCGATAGGGTTGCCTCGGGTCGGCTGAGCCTACAAACCACCGCGCCAGCCCCGACTCCAGGGTATAATGCCAGCATTCAGCCGGTAATTGATTCTAACAGATCTTGATTGGGCTACAATGGCCGCCCGTTGATGCAAAAGACCTTATTAATTAGGATTTCTGATGTGAAACGGGGCCACATCGCCGCCAGCAAGGTAGACCGCAGCACTTCAAACGCACTGCGATAACTCCGCCCACCGCGCGGGGCAGGCCGGGTAATCTCAGGAATAACACGTGGTATGGTAGTGTACATACGTACGGTGCAAGTCGGAAGCTTTGATTTCATTTTGCTTCTTTCTTAGAAATTTGTTTTAATTTGTCAAGCATATCCCCCCTCAAATCAACTAACATTAATATTATATTGGAAGTTCATCTGTGTTAGTAGAAGTCATTATGAAGCAGTTTAAACTGTAATTTCCAACACAAGAGATCGGACTTACCCAAATTTTCGACTGTGCAACACCAATCTTAAAACTTTGTCAAGGAAATGGCAATTTCTTGTGTTGGAAATTACAGTTAAAACTGAAACAACCATCTTAATATTTCTTGCATAATGTTTTACTGCCTATCAAAATATACTTGATCCCGATTTAAAATGAAACATATACTTTAGAATTTGTAATCATTGGATTACTGTATTTTGCGTACAAGCGTACTGAGAAATTGCCGAATCGTGCTGTAAATGAGATGCTAAGTACCTCTGACTGAGGGCGACGTATTGGCGGTAGCTGGAGGGTAGAGAGGGTCAGGGGGCTTGGTCACAAGGGAGGGCCGTTCGGAAGTACCAATAAGCAACCTGGCCTGGAGCGGTCTTGTTAGTTGGACTATGATAGCTGCCTCTGCAGTTGTAGCATGATTTAAAGACATCCAATGCAATTTTAGAGCGTCAAAAATATTCTGAATTAGGATATCTACCTGATATTGACATCTACTGCAATTTTTCGCACATTTTCGTCATCATTTCATAAAGAGCATTTGGAATAGCCCCAAAACAAGGGACGTAAGGTGCCTCTTTATTTTTTGGTACCACCCATAAATCTAAATAGCTAGAACTAGCCTACGATACAAAGCAAGCAACCTTTTTCCGTCAGTGATATCGCATTTTTCTCACACAGATATCAGTATGCTGTGCCTATGGGGTAGGATTGACTCAATTTTCTTCATTGAAAGAATGGCCAGAAAATTGACTTTGAAATCCAGTTTTGCCACTTTAAAATTGCTTTGGATGCCTTTAACGTAGGGTGTGTGTAAGTATGATAAAGAATGGCGTATATATATTGTCTATTTCACCCCTGAAAATTACACTTCATGATTGTAAAAAGATAGCTTTTGGCTTCCGTGATTAAGATTACTTGCTATCGTTTTAATAAGAGCTGTGTTTTGGAAGGGTACCATATGGACCGTACAGAACACAGTGGCACGTATCATGTGTAGATGTGGCCAGATTTACTTCATCAAGAAAATACGACACAATTGGGCAGCAGAAAAGTTTTGTTTACACCTGTTTTCTGTTTTCTTATGCCTTAGACCATTTGGACGTCCTGCACATTTTTGTACTTTGAAAATATTTTTCCTGTCTTCTGTTATGCCCAAAATTGTGTGTTTTCAGATGTCATTTGAAAGGAGTGTACCAAAATATGCGAAATCGAATTTTTCATTTCTCATTTCTGAAATTTTTACCATCCTGAAATATATTCGTAAATAAAGGGCTTAATAGTTTTGAAAACGACAACTGTAGAAATGCCTGTGTATGGCTATCATTGCATTGAAGTGAATTTGTAAAATTCTGTTTACAAAAGTTACAAACATTGACTTGCTAACTCGTTCGTGTTTTTGCTTGCCAACAAACCCTAAACAGTAACTTAAATGTTCCCCATATCGTTCAGAAACAGAGGGATTCCGGGCGGCTCAGACTAAGATTAATGTGTTTTACATTACCGGTTACTCGTTAGCCAAGCGGCTAGTGGTGCCGAGGTTCCGTCCGGGGTTCGCACGCACACTTTGCCTCCAAGTGACAGGAACTTAAAGGTCATTTTGTACTGAGGAGACCAGTTAATGAGACAATATCCTCCCTGATAGCCGATACAGAGGACACCGAACTATGCCAACAATGCCGCCCAGTCAAACAGCGGTATTTTCCACCCTCTCGGCTATTTCCGCGCCAAAAATCCGAGCCCTGGAAGAAAAGGAAGCTCGCGAACTGCTCCACTTAGAGTCTTTCAAATTATCCCAATTTTCTCGACTCAACTTTGTGCGTCAATGCTAGGTAAGAACCTGAGTCGACAACTGCGGCTTTAGAGAAATTATAGGTTGGGGTGATTATGTTGTCGGCGTCGATTATAGCTATTTTGACGACTGTTTGACTGGGGAGTAATTAACCATAATTACAGGGTAGAACCCGAAGAGATTTTTGAGTGAGAAATTTTTGTGCCGGACAACAAAATCAACTTAAGCATTTCTCAAATACCTCCAAATGTTGTTACCTTTATATCTTATTTTTATTTAGGAAAACAATAGCATGGAATTCTTTAAACTCAAAGAAATGTTTTTCTCTTATCTATAAAATCTCTTATTCAAGGAATTGAACCCTATCATAGATCTTAGTATAGGTCAAGATACACTCGTAATATTGTGTGTTTAGGAATATAATTTGCCACAAATTATGACCAAATATATTTTAATAATATGTAAGACAATAACTTAAATCTGAATCACGGTCTAAACGCCTTCATGGTTTTCTATGCAAATGACTATCATAAATTAATCTATTTATAGCTTTAAAATGTTCAGCGATATATGCTAAACGATTTTACTAAAAGACTTTGGTAAGCCCACTAGGTATGATTGGTACTTTTGTCCGGCTTTGTCTTTTGATGCCGCCGAGAGGTGAAAAACACCCCTTCCATGCCCGCAAGCGTCCTGTCTTGAATGGCGGACTTTTGTCGGTGTGCCCTCGCCACGGGGAAGGTAAGGGGTAGTATCACTCATTTGTATCAATGTAATCATTCGTTTAAAGCTTTGTTTGTTTTACCAGTGGTAGACCACTTCAAGGTAGCGCCCGCTTTGTGAACTATAACTCACCAGGGAGACATGATATGTTATAGACGTTTTAGAAAGACTCTACAATTTGTGAACGCACCAACTTGTTAGACCTTGTTAGATCTTCTTAAGTTTTCGCTTGACCTGCGGGTCACCCTCAAACAATTCCCGTCATGCTCTCTTGAAAAAATACTACATCAAAAAGAGCAGCATATTTTTAGAGGGAAGGAACAAAAGCTATCACCTGCTGTCGCTGTCACAAGCGGTGAAAACAAGAAAAGCGAGCCGCTAGCCGGCCGCCATATGCTCGCCTGAAACCGCAATGGCGGCGTTATTGTTAAGTACAAAGGGTTAATTCTACCAAACAAGGAAAAATCATTCCACATTCTTTAATGGTGAGGGGAAACGCGTGGTCTCATTAATAGCGTTTCTATGCCGTCAATCGTTTTGCGCTTGGACTTGTGGCACTTCTAGTGGCACCGATTATAGAATGAGATCACAGACAGATGGTTGTCAGAATTATTTACCTAGGTTCTTTGTTGTTTTGGATTGAAATTGGATTTCCAGTCCTTGATTCTGGTCTTGTATGCAAGATAATATAGATTTTTTTATTAGCTGTTAGTAGCTTTCATGGAGGATTTAACCTTCATAATTTGGTGAGCTTTAGTAAAATTTGAATCATTCTAACAAATACAAAGGGAGAATTTCTTTAATGCTATCGATGTTTGAAATCAATACAAGGTGATGGTCAATTGAAATCATTTCAACAAACGTGATATTTTGTTTGGCTGAAATCCACTTTTACCAGTTAATATTACTTCTTCGTCGAAATGAATTTGTATCTGATAAAAGCGCCACCTGCCTTCTGTTCTCAGCATTACACGTGTGTCATACATTCGGGAAAATTGCTCCCCATATATTCTAGACTAAGTTGAAATAGGATCAAGAAGCAAGAAAACATTTCCATACCATGAATTAGCCTCCATATCATGCCAAAAACTGGGGGTTTGGGGAGTCTTCGTGGTCTTTGAGAGCTTTTATGTGCTATTTTCTGATTGCATATAGACAACATAGCCGGCCTGGTTGAATTACCCCCGTTGTTTTGGGCTAATCAGAAAACAGCCGAAGACCACCAAACCCCCAGTTCTATAAGCCTGCTACGGAGGCTAACCACGAATTAGTAATCAAAAAGACAACATTTTTATTTGTTTTCTTCGGAAATCCCCAAGTCACTTTATCATGACTTATCTAATAATTTTAGCGCGTGACTTCGCCATGATATATCCATATTTAATACTCTTCATTATTCAAACCTCATCAGCGTATCATTAGTAGTTTTTCTTTGCAGACGTCTGCCGGAATCATTGTTAAGGGGATTATTCTCTCTGTAATTAAGAAACAATTTCCGCTGAGTGAATAAAGGGGTGCACTAATCCTATGATTAGCATATAAGAGTCATCTGTTTGGTGAGCTTTACCACCACAAAACAAAAGAGATTATCTGAATATTCCTAATCCCACTGCAGCGAGGAACGATCTCTTTTCAGATAATAGTGGTAGACAGATAGACTAGACAGGACTTTTTTTCTTAAGATTGCAAGAAGCAAAAAGATACAAAACATAGACAAGAAAATGAGGAAGATGAACGGACCATTGCTACCATTAAACAAAAATTATAATCTCAAAAACTCACTTTAGCTAGTACTGATATTTAACTAAATATCTACCACAATGTAATAAAGAACGAAGTAATTAAAATGTTTATGAACGCAAGTCCAGTTCCTTATCCAATGAAGAAAACGATAAGAGGACACGGTACAAAATGCAAGGTAAAATTGATTTTTAGAAGTATTTTGTTGCGGTAAAATAATGAAATAGGGCCTATTTAGGAAAATAGGGCTTGTATGTACCAATTGACCTTTCCATACATCGCCATTTTGCTTTAATTTTTGCTGACACATATGATCGATTGGCGATGTTTTCTTTTCTTTGTTTCAGACAAAACGTCGCTTGGTTTCGCCCAACTTGGATTTCCCGCCAAAACGAGATCTCGGACGACACCAACGGGGCCCACCTGGATTATACCAAACGTTTCACAGGAAACGCTTAGGGGTGGAATTCGGAT